CCGTCACAGTTCTCGAAACGTCTAGGTTTTTTACGAAGATTAAAAAGAGCGCAAAGAAGAAAATTATAATCCAAGCTGATTTTTTTGCAGTTATTCGAAAGGAGGGATGACGAGGAGTTTTCGAGAATCGCAGAGCACCCGATCCCGTGTGATCTGAAGTGGGGTTCCGCGTCTAATTCCAAATCCACTTCGGTAGGAATTGGTCACGGCTATTGCCACGCGTGGAGATAGTCGGATATTATTTTTTTCCCTTGAGGCAATCCTTGACGAATTGAAGCGGAAATTAACACAACGCGGTCTATCGATTACTATCTATCACTCCTTGCGCCGATTGCATTTTCTCGGTTCCATGTTTTTTTTTGCTACCATCTTTCTCTATTTATCAACGAAAAATATATATCGACGAAGAATGTATACCGTGTTATTAATTCATTGGCATACTGGTGTCGTGATTATAACCGTGATATAACTTGCGACTGTTATTGAAATTCAAAAATAGATCGAATCAACTCATCTGATGTTAAAATAGACTGTTATGTGATCATGAAGTTATCTAAGGTAACTTCTAACGTCTTTTATATTTTTTGCGAGGATAAGAGGATTATTAAGAATTGAAATTTTATGTAACGTGAAAACAGATCTTTCTTAGGCGAATTAAAAAAATGTTATGCTTAGCTATTCGGATGTTTCTGGTTACATAAGTGTTACACTACTCTAATAAATTACAAAAAATGTTATTGACATTTTCATGAAATAACACTTTATGTAAGAAATACGTTAATGAAAGCTCGAAGCACTATCTTTAATGAGGTCGCCTACAGAATGGCCAAAAAAACTCAATTTTATTCACGGAGAAAATTGGTTCGTTTCACCTCTGAACTTCATAAGTATAATGTAATGAGATTCGATAAGACTACACTTATGCATACGTCTTCTAATAACAGCTTCTACGTCTATCCATTAATTAACATTTCGATATTAGAGCTGGAATTAGACAAAAAAATAATAATCGACCGTGCCTGGACGGCTGCGCACACGCATGGCGGATGCGGCCATGCTTTTCACGATCTTCCCCCTCGAGATTTCAGTCACGCACGGATCCACGCACTACGCGCCGCCCGCGCACGTGGCAGATGTTCTGTTTTATACGTTCACGCATGCGTTTCTATCGAGAGTCTCAACCACTCCCAATTTCGCTGTTCCTCTTCATCTCGAATCTATCGTCCATTGTCGATATACAATTTCCCCGAATTAAAATACTGAAATAGTTGCGTTGCCTCTTACGAAATTGATGCTACTAGAACTTGAAAGATTTGCAGACTTTTTATTCAATTTTATTTTTAAACCCAATTTGTGTTGCAAATGACTGTACTAAAAAATAATTATAAATATTCATTCAACCGATATTTGTTGTAATATGTATTTCTTAAAAGAAAATGTGCACTGTATCGTAATTCTTTTAAGTATTCGGTATTTATATATTATCTCCGTAATAATTGTAATTCTTCGCGATCATAATTACATCGCTATCAAGCGGTAAATGCCGTCTTCATCTTCCGCATTGGTTTTTAATTTTTTTGAAGACCGATCCCTTTTTGCGTAACACTATTCAACATCTGACAAGTGCTCAACTCGTCAACGAATTTTTTGAAGACTAATCCCTTTTTGCATAGCACTATTCAATATCTGGCGAGGTGCAGATCGTCAACAAATTGTTCCGCTTTTACGTGGATTATAAAGTTTCCGCTCGACAACCTCGTGCAGTCTACTCTCCTCTGTACGTATGTATAGTCAAAGCCGCAGATAATGTCGCAGGCATAATATCTACGAAGGCGGAGTTGTCGAGCTTGAACGCCTATTACACGACTTGGATCTCACGAGGCGTAACGAAAACCGATATATCTCTCAGTGCAACATCGATCTCGATAAAGGTTATTGAGTATCGAAGGTGCTAATAGCCGGCTACGCGATTATTCGAACCTTTCCGTTCGCATAGACGTATCGTAATAATAAATATAAAAGTATCACGAGCGGACCGGTTGGGTTACGCTTGTTGCAGTCGTTGACCGATCACAAACGCTAATAAAAAAATTATACGTCCATGATAATAGACGTTCGAATGATAATAGTGACGTTTGAATAAGTTTTACCTCAATCAAATTGCGTACGGTATGCGTTTTTCTATTTTCGATATTTTCATATCACGATATGTCGAATGAGCGAATAAAATGCTTTGCAGTTGTAAATCTATTCAATTAACGCCCGCACGTTGAAGAAAATATGTTGGGCGCATCTAACGCATTCGCATTCGAGACAATGCTATGATAATTTATTCCGTGGATGTAAATTTCTTGCACGAGCGGCCGTATAATCCATCATGCTTCGTCAAATTGGTACAAGCACCTTGCGTTACAGCGGTAACATATATGCTGCCTCTTTCATCCTGGTTTCTTTTCATTTTAAACTACCACCTTCGCGCGCGAATATCGCGATTGGCACGGAATATATTCTGCGAATATATAATGATTGTTCGTACAAGTATTAATGCAGCATACTTTGTAAATGCCGTATTATTTTTTCCGATCAGATTTTAAAATAAATTCAAAGCCAATTCTTTCTTAAGTAAATAATAGCGAAGATCAATATTTTTTCGCAGCTTTGTAATATTTAATGATAAATATTTTAGTTTTAAGTTTGTATAAAGGGAAGATCGCTTAATATTGACCGAGAAATAAGGCTTCCTTATTTATTTAGGTTCGCTATGAACTAACCCGTTCGAAAATGATAGGATGCGCTCGTATAAGTCGAGAGAAAAACAGTAGCGCGTTAACTATGATATATATGTGCATTGAAATGAATAAATTAGTCCGCAATAAATGCATATATCGCGCTAAGAATAACGGAGATTAGCTATAAATAGATTTTCCGATTTTGCATAAAAGTATATAGTTTCATTCCGTGTCACGAATCACGTCATGCGAGTGTCATACAAGCGTAATACGCCGACTTTAAATGGCTTCGCGATTAATTTTCAGTCGTCGACTCGATCGCCATTTCTGTTTCAGCGCACGCATCACGCTCTTGCTTTATATTACATCAGACTACCATTTTCTCCCATCAAGCCCTACGGAATAAGGATGATGGAAGAATTTCTTATGTATTAGTCTAGTAACTCATTAATCATACACGCCATGCGCCGAATATCTCGATTGATCAACGACCAGATAGCCGCATAATGAGCTCTGCTGCTCTTCTTGGTCCATTCTCCGCTCAAAAAGTTATTACTATCGGATTAATTCGTTTCCGCGTGTCGTTATCGTAAACGAAGATATTTCAACCAATACTGCTCTCTTTGTGTCGGCAATTTACTTTTTCAATATTATTTTTAACGTGGACAAATTGTGCGACTGAAGCAAGTAAAAAAGAATAATATTCTAAAATAAATAATATGCAATATGTGGACAGTTTTCGAGAGGTTGAAAAAATAAAAACGTACGAATGGAAACCATCTTTTTATACTGAAATATCTAAAATTCGCCAATTGCGTACAAAGACAGCATTTGATAAAATATTTCCGGCTCCTTAGACGTTTCCCAAAAAATTTTTAATCGCTTTAAAATGGTCCTTGAAGCAGTCATACGAGCGAGACATCGATATATGGATTTCTAAGGGGAATTTAACAAGCGGACCTTCGTCAACCGTCGATAGCACGCTCGACGTAGAGTGTCTCGTAGCTAGGCGTATATTCTGTCGGGCGCAAAGTAATTAAATGCAGAGAAGGAGGGGAACCGAACCCGACCGAAGGGCTGGACGGGCTGGTGGGGTTGGAAAGGCGAGGTAGGGAGGAAGGTAGCGAGGGCGTTCCTGAAGCCACTCCCCAGCCTCGAGTCCTACGGAACTGGAACCTGCCTGCCTGGAAAGCCGTAGTTATATACCTGAACAAAGTGCACCTTGGCATGCAGGTAGACGCCGTGGCGCATTGCATGCGCGCTTATTACAGTCTCCTTCCATCTCTTTCGCTCTCGACGCTCGCGCGAGCGTCCTCGAGCATTCTCCCACATGCAGCTCGTGTCGCATAACATTTCTCGCCGCTAATGTACTTACTTTTCTTTTTTATGATGTGACAGAAAGCGCGCGACAAGAATGCCAAAAAAAAGAAAACAATACAAAAATGAGACTCGGTCTATTAACGCGTTCGCTGTCAATCATTACACATATATTATACATATACGGGCGACATACTTTCTATTTGAAATCTCATCGATCCTACGTTGCGCCTCTTCAATTTCGGCCAATCAATTACGTAGATGAAAATTTTCAATCACGACTTTAATCATTCATTCATAGGAAACCGTGATACTCAATTCAATTCCTTTATGTCAGAAAGAGTTATTAAACGTTGCTCGAAATATGTTTTTAATTAAACTCCTTTTTAATTTGGCGCTTAATACATTTAAGATCATACGTTTTCAATTATACGTTTTTTTCTGATACACGGCGACGAGATATTTCACGGTACATAGTGTATTTCGAAAGGAATGGCCGGCGAAGTGCATTCGGTCGGCGTGTTTATGCTAATTAGCCGCGCAAAGGTGCGGCCAGGTGCGGCAGGTTCGAGCTATAGTGAATGTTCGGATTGGCTCTTACAAATTGCCGCGTTAATTCGATACGCTCCCGACGTAAAGAGCCGCGAGCGCCAGATGTATTTAGCTGTTCTTGCCGGCACGCAGATCAACGTGAAACATACGTAGCGTATACACCGACTGACTCTATAATTGGTATCCGAAAACGGGATTTCGATCATTTCCGATAAGTACAAAACGAAATAAGAATTGCGATCGACACGCTGACGATATAAAAGAATGTTCGTAGAATAGCGATTTTTCGATCAGGAAATAGCTCAGTTAATATCGCCTTTAATCGATCAGATTCTTATGTGTTTTTTTACTAAAATGCTACGTAAATGGCAGGTAAAAGATAAACATCGCAAATAAGCTTACCGGTTTCCAGATCCACTGTGTAGGGAAGTCCTGCCCACGGATCATCCTCCTGCGGCTCGGGCTCCTTGGCATCGTCCTGAAAATATTTCTTTCGATAAAAGATAAACTGAACGGAAGAGCTTTCTTCCGTTCAATTTAAAAATATTATTGTAATCAATTTTGAATGAAAATTATATGCAAAAATAATAAACGTCTTGTAATAGAAAAAAATTCTTAAAAAGAAATAAAACAACGTTCAAATAATACGATTCGCAAAGGATAAAGTTCATTTGAAGTTCATCTTAATTACAATTAACCAATTAATAACGGTGCACGGTATTATCGTAACGAGCAGCGCTAGTAAATTAGCTAGAAAATTAGACTGAAAGAGTAGTACTGAGACATAATGAGCGCTGACTGTAATTAACGATGCTGCCGCATCTAAGAAGTGTCGAACAGGGTGAAAGACCCGGCGTGAAGCGCGACTTTCGAAGAGAGATGTGATCGATGCCGGGGCACGATCACAAAACGTAATTCCAACAAAGATGATTACGAATCCGTGGAGCTGACGAATTTGAAATGAAGCACGCGCAACAATGGTCGAATTTAGTCGAACGCCATTCGAGTCGGGCCAAGGTCGATCCTTATGGAGACGTCATAATCAAGCGAACCGATCCTTGTGACGACGTGAAAAAGGGCCCAAGGGCGCGCGTATGCCCCGGGCCATAGGTCGCCCGGAGCGCGGCGGTACATGCGAGCTGCAGTGAAATGAGTTTAATGAAAACAGTATTGTACTCGATCATTAATCATAGCGAGTCCCTGATAGCGGCCATCCACAACCACCAACTATCTATCTCTCTCCTTCTCCTCTCTGTCTCTCTTTCTTCGCCGCTCTTGCACTCTCGTTTTCTCTCTCTCTCTCTC